AGCTCCAACCAACTGAGCCACACCAACCCAGGCAAGAGCAACTTTTTGGGTCTCCAACGTAATAGCAACAGCAGAGGTTAAAGGGATTGTTTGTTTTTTTCTTTACAGCTTCTTAAAACTCTGTTGACAATCAATGGAATCCCCATGGCAGTTCAAGGCAGAGAAACCCTCGCCCAGTTTTTCCGGCTTTGCCACTGTGGTTTCAGTGCTTCACAGACTTTACCATGTAAAGGAGAAACCACCATGCTTGCTTCCCCTCCCGCTTTCCACAACTGGTCGTGAAGAACCACCTTGGGCTTGGCTGATGGGCTTCTGGAAGCTGAGTGTACAGCCTTGGAGGGAGGCCCTTGCCAGTTTTATATTTAATCCTTCCTGTGGACATATGCTTCAGAGCAGCATGTGGAAAAGAAAAACTGCCTGGTCAATTTGGTCAGCCTGTGGGTCTCTGATGATAGACATCTGGGTTAATACCTTGTGAACTTGAACCCAAATTGAGTGTTGAGGAAAAGCAGTGTATTCCTTAAGAATTCTTAACATTCCAGAACAAACATTAATGTAAAAGTATTACTTTAGGTTGCCGAACTCCTATTCACTGATTCCCACCTGTAGCCTGCGACATTTACCCACCCACACCTCTTCCTCTGCTTAATCAGTTTTTGGGGAAGGTTTAGAATACAGCTAAAGTAAAATAAATGTATCATATACACAAAAGCTCTTTTTTTCTGGATGCACCTTTTCTGTGGGCCAGTGTTCCTGGGAGGGAGGAGTGCCTTCCACCTGTAGTTCCTTTGCAAGTCCTTCCACTGCAACCTTAAGCTGGACAAAGACACTGCAATTCCTGGCACAGAAGGACTCCCAAACCTTGAGCAATTGCAGGGTTTATGTCAGAACAAAGTTGATGTGTTTGATTTAATAAACATTTTGCTTTATGAAAAATGTTGGGAGGCATTAAAATTTTTTAATCATAAAATTGTTACGGATATCCAGGCTTGAGAAATGACATTCAGGAAATGGCACTGTATGAGGCTGCCATTGGATGGTCATGGTGGAGACATGTTCATGACATGGAGACACTGGCAACATCTTTTTAGGTCTCTTTAAATCTCAGTCATAACCTACGTATCTGGCTATGGTTTCTCCCAACTACCATTACCACAATCCCAGTCACTTCCTTTAAGGTGTCCATCAATCCTTGGTGGACTGCTGCAGGCCAGCTTGTTTATTCACTACATCCTTAAAAGTGCTTGCTTGTCTCTAGCAGTCTGTCAATACTGACTTAGTGGTAACCCTCTGCTTTTGTGACACATCAAGCCTTATCACTTGGAGGATTTTGTCAGATGTTATGGATGAAAATGGTTCATCAGGAATGCAAGGCACGAAGAAAGGCGCCAGTGGGTACACAGGCAGTTGGATGGGTCCATCACCCATAGGAGTGAAGGCCCACCAAGGGCTTGTGGCCAAGAGTATATGGAACAGGAAGTTTCTTAGTTTCAAGTCTCCCAGAAGCAACCCTGAAATAAGGAGTGAAGTACAAGTCGTTCATTTGGTAGATGATTCTGTTACGGATAGGGAGAAAGAGGCCTGAGTCAAGAGGCTCCCTCCCCATTTTCAGTTCCTATCTTGCTTGCAAGAGAGTAATTCAATGAGGAGACAAGTATGTATAGTGGGAATGAAATACTAAGTTTATTTATGAAACACATATGAGCACAAATCTGCAAGCAAGAACCCAGCAAGTCTAAATGCCCCATGTACAGAGGAAATAAAGTTGTTAAGTTTATTATATACACTTGAACCAAGGCTACGAGTGGGTACCTAACTCATCTAAGTATACTATTGGGGTTCAGGGGTTATATACCTTAGCTAGCTTCCAGGTACCCCTCTTTCTCTCCCTTGAGAATAATGTACAGCTACATAGGCTTCCTTTCTCAGTTAGTAAAGGCTCTTAGTGAAATTGTTACAGAAGCTCCCTTTCCCAGCATAGAATCTCAAGGACCAACCCCTTCCCACCCCCCCAACCCCCCCCCACCCCCGCTTCCTGTACGATTTCCTGCTTGTGATGTTCAGGACAACCAGGAATCTTAGTAACAAGGTTGTTACAGGAGCCCCTTTCTCAACACATTCTCAAGGATTCTCCCCTCCTCCTGTGCTATTTCGTTTGCAATGCTAAGGACACATGACAATCTTATCAAACTGAGCTCAGGACTGCTGATTTAATTGGTGACACATGTCTTCCTTTTGCTTCTAGCCTCCTGTATTAAGTTGTTAGATTGTAATGTAATGATGAGGGCTCTGCCTTTATTTTCCCTTTGGCCACTCATTCTTAGCTGCTACCTAACAATTCCAGGAAACACAGGTAGAGAAGAAAATAAAGCTAATACAAGGTGTATTAACCAGTCAACTACTTCAACAGGTAACTAAAGCTTAATTCCTGTGGGAAATATCTCAAAAACTGTATGAAACACATAACTCAGAATTATCTCACCCGAAGAGCAAGGGAAGCAGTATGTTTATACACCAGCTTCTATCATCTCTTCAGAGATGCAGGTATTTGGGGCCCTCTGAAACAGATCTGTGGGCAATGACAACGGTCTGCTCCAGGACACCTGCCAAACCGGCTTTCATTCTCTAAAACCTCCCAGTGTTTACTGTATGAGTTTATGGCCTGAAAAAATGGATGCTGACTGTACTGTCAGGACTGTGATGGATTTCCACAAAAGTTTTAGGATGAAACATATTTATTTAACAGCAAGAGTGTAACCAGAATTGTATAGAGAAGCAGCAAATGAGGTATTGTATAAACCTATAGGTCTAGACATCTTTCCATGATATTAAGTGAAAATTAAAGGTTATGTAACTCCATTTGAGGGTTCAATATAACCCCATTTATGTGTTAAAAACACAGAAAATTTATGCATAAAGTGTTACTAGTTGCTGAACTAGTTACTAGTTCTTTAGGGAAGTGGGGTAAGGTTCATTTTTTTCTTACCTATTTTCAGATTTCTTACAAACATGAATTTTTTTATAACGATGAGATTTTTTAAAAAAAATTCCAAACAATCTCAAGATTCAAGAATAATTCAAGCACTTTTCTAAATCTTCCCTTCTTCTTTCCCTCCATTCTTCCCTCACATCCTACCTCCAATGCTTCCAAACAGAGCAACCTTGCTTAGCTGCGGTTAACTGGCATGCAGCATCACCACTCCGCCACATGGGAGAAACTGAGGAATTGGGCACAAAAGGCTATGAAAAGCCAAGAGATGTCCCCATATCCAGGACCCAAAACTCTTCCATTTTGCTCACAGACAAGCACCTAGGACGAGCATTTAGGACTTGATTATATGTACTTTTACAAAATTCTGACATTGACATCTGAGTTCAAGTTCACATTTAAAAGTGGCAGTTAAACAATGAGGCAGGGCCTGCCTTAGGAGTGGCATGATAAGTGGCAGAGCTGACAAGAGGAGGACAGAGCCCAGGTGTGGCTGCCACATGTGCTGTCAGCACAGGCACCCCAGGTCCCCTCTGCTCCTTTCCAGATCTGAAGACACCGCTTCCAAACCCCAAGCAGGATCACAGTGATAACACCTTGATGAATCCAGAACAGATTTCATTATACCCAAGAGAACCAAACATCCGATGTTCAGGACTTAAAAGGTAATAGAATATAGGCAATACAGCTAAGATTCTCCACATTAAAAGTCGGCATCTTAAAATATAGCTTCAGAATCTTGGTAATATAAGTCAGACTAGGACATGAGGTCATTTTCTTATCTGTCTCTACCTTTTCTACTTTTGTGTGAAATGAAGTTGATTTTATATTTGCCAGTATCCATTCATTAGCATCTGATATTATAACAAAGGAACTTATACTGCCCATTACGTTTTTTTCCTCGTGATTCTGACTACCACTTTTTCTTTTCTCCCTGGTTTCACAATATTCCATAAATTAAAAAAAATAGAAACTGGAGAATAAAGTCTTAACAAACTGTTATGGGGTCATGCTCTTTTATACTGACCAGTTTTTAAACTCTTCTTAAAAGGGGTCTTTAACAAGCCCAAACTTTTAAATATGAATGAAATAAAGTCAAAAGGAGATGAAAGACATGGCATTCCTAGTGATATAGGTCAGATCATTTTCAGACTCCAAAGTGTCCTGATAGTTTTACGTGATCCAGTCCAGTTCCTAAAAAAACCCTGCCAACAGGTAACAGGTCTTTGAAAGCTTTTGAAGCCAAAGGCTCCCTACCAGCCAGCCCATCTCTCACAAAGTTCCCAGCCTCATTAAGAATGAGAAACAGATACCATGGCACCAACCTGTCTACAGGACACAGTGAGACAAATGTAATTGCCTGTACAAGGAATATAAGTCAGAGACTCCCAAATCATTCATATTTACACCCACTCCATTTTGGTTGTCTTTCCTTTATAATTTGGCCATATATCGATGTCAAGTATATAATTTCATCTGGGGTTTTATCAGTTACCGCCCAGAGCCATGATTATATGGTGCAGGGAAATTCCTCCCCCTGAGCAAGTCTATCTTTAGTAGCTTCTTGATAGCCACTTCTTACACCGAAAATCAAAAGGAAAGTCTTGGTTTTCTTATGTGGCTCCAGAATCACTAAATATAACATTTAGAAGCATTTATCAAACTGCAATCTTTGAGTTTTCAACTGCCACTACAATTTTTCAAAGCAAAGCGTTCTTATTCCTTCCCATTGTTATTTTTTATCAAATTGCAACAGATATTGTAGGGATTTCTGTACTGACCATTGAATCATGTACTAAGTTTAACTTTTACCTTGCTAGTGCCCAACCTAACTGGACAAACCTAAGACTGGATTTTGAACAATGAGAATCACAGTAAGAAGGCTAAAAGTATGATTTATGGAAGTAACTTTTTACAAACAAAATAAAAATTGGCTCGTCAATCTAGGATTCAAAAGATAATTTATTAGTCTGAGAAGAGGAGTCACACACTATACCCAGTAATATGCTGCTTTTATTTTCGTGCTTTTACCTTAAAAATATATTTAAACAAGAAACAAAGATAATATTGAATTTTCCCATAAATTTTGCTTTCTTATTTACAGTGTTACATCGTAAATAACATTCTATTATACACAAATTAAGGACTGTGCATTACTGTATGTTCTCTTTACATATTCTTTCATAATACAGTACATACAGCTCGAAGCTATGCAGTATTTAAGCTTAGAAAGGCTTGAGTAAAGAAGTACAAACTTTATCAATAAGACTATTATTTAATAAGGTTCTGACCTTAATTCTTTGCTAGATTGTTTCACTGAAACCACTCTCTGTTAAAAAAAAAATGCCCCATATGAGGGATGAGAATAACAGTTTAAGTTACCACAGGATCCACTTAAACTGGTTAACAAATAAAAACACTTTATTACTTATTACTGTTATTAAATTGAGCACTATCACTGTCAAATCACTTAAACAAGTAGATTTACTCTTCAATTCAGACACATTACATCAACAGTTGGTACCTCTTTATGAAATAAAAAATGTTTCCTGCAACTTCAGGTTTGACTTGTAAACAGTTAAAGCACACATTTTGTAAATATGATTTAATCATTCCTGGTCTTAAGTTTACACAATAGGGAGAAGTTTCTGTTTCATCAAGGGAAAAGCAAGCATGCACGCACACACACGCATTCAGTCCCACTCACCCACAAAGGCCCGCGTGTCACTAAGCAATAACTACAGCAGCGCTAGTGTCGCCAGCGGTGCACAAGGCTGCAATAGGACTTATGAAATGAAGACAATAAAACATCCAACTTCGTTAAAAACACCAGAAAGTTCAGGTTCTGAAATGCCTCAGGTGCTTCATGCTCATTCTGAAGGTTCAGTTCACTGGGCTCTCCAAGCGGCAAACCCCACCTTCGATTGCCACGGACTGTCCTGCCACTGCACCAGGAGGAAGTCTGGAAATGTGAGTCTGCAGAGAGGGAGAGAGGAGAACATTAGAAGTGCCTGCTGCGTTCCCTCATGTGTGACAAAGGGGGAGGCAACACCACAGTGTCATGGCTTCTCTTGCTTCTGAGCATCTACAGACTGCGGTGGTGGTCCCTTTTAGGTATAGAGAAATCCTGCCTGCTCAGGTCCTCAGGGAATGTTTTCTGAGCATCTCTACATCTAAGCATAGCACTAGCAACTGGAGATACATAGTGACCAAGATGGTCAAGGTCCCTGACAGTGCAGAACTTAAAATTTAGTCATGTTCAGAATAGCAGTGGTTTTAATGCCAACACTATTGATCATGTTCCAGTTCTCTGAAAGCTAATAATTTACATACATTTTGTCCTCTGAACATTCGAAGCAGCTAAGGATACCTGGTTCACGTTTATATTTACAATTTATTCCGTAAAAGATTTGAATAACTTACAAAAATTCAGGTAATTCAATGACCTAAAGTAAGTGAGGCAATGAGCAAACAGAAAAATAAGGTGGAGAATGGCATGAGGTTAACACTCAAATTCTAGCCGAAAGGATCACAACAAACCAACTGCTCAGAGAACGACTCCTCCTAGGATGGAGGCCAGGGAGCCATTTCTTTTGTAGGGCTTCATATACAGTAGGTACTATGTACAGTGGATCAGTTGTACAACACTGAGCTTTGTACAGCTGAGTGTTACATTACTCAAAGAAGGCTGGCCCTGAGTGGAAGACAGTAAGCTGTTGCACAAGGGGTCAGGATGTCAGCATCCAGAAATTCCTTGTTTGATGGTCCTGTTTAATCCAGGGATAGATAAGTATGAGGAGTTTCTAAGAAGAACAGAGGGATTGCATATCCTATAGGTAATCCTCTCTAATTGTTTCTCTAAACAAGATTTTCCTGGGAACTGAAATAAGATGAGTTCAAGCCAAGGGTGGGTTGTTAGATGCAGCTGGTGAGGTAGCCAAGCTTCAGGTGGGGCTGACATCCTTGCATGCAACCAAATATGAAGCAAGCATACGTTTTATACAGGTAAGGTAGGTGGTTTGTAGTTGAGGGTGGGCACTATTCTCAAGTCTCACTGTAAAAGTCCCATTAGAGTAGTTGACATAGGTCAACAATTTGGAAAAGTCTGGAGAACAGGAAATGTTCTTTGGGTACTTAGTTTTCTGTGGACAAGGCAGGAAACAACCTGTAACCTTCAGGGGTGAGGTCCATTGCCCTTTGGGGTGGAGAGCTGGATGAGGCAATCTCTGTGGTATTTCCTGGGATGCAAGTATCAGTGAGTTCACTCACCAGGTTCATGTTTATGGGAACTATGTCACAGAACCTGGCCTTATCACATCTGAGGGCCAGACTTGGGTCTCACCACAGTAAAACAAACTTGTGACTATTATGTCTCTTGTGGTGCCTCATTAACCCTTTGGGAGAAGTTAGAAGAGGGTATGTTGTTTGATTCTGCTACCAAACAGCCCTTGTCACATTAGGCACAAAATGCTTAAATCCCACAATTCCCAGGGCTCTGTACTGATGGGGCCACTTTTATTCTTTCAGAACTTTATTAACATGAAGTGAAAGAGAACTGTTTGCCTAGGCATCATTCATCAATTTTTTAAAAGTTTCTCTGTTTGTTCTTTTTTTAAAGATCCCTGACAGGGTAGAAAGCCCCTCAGTCAGTTTTATCCCTGATCTCATCCTCTTCAGCCATGAGCACAGGCAGTTATAATAGGGGTCAAGAACAAAGCAGAATCACTGTTGAAAACAGTATGGCAGTTTCTCAGAAAATTAAACATAGAATTATCATATGATACAACATTTCCACTTCTGAGTATAAGCCCAAAACAAGTGAAAGACGGGACTCAAAAAAATGTTTATACACAAATGTCCACAGCAGCATTATACACAATAGCCAAAAGGTGGAAGCAACCCAAATGTCCATCAATATATGAAGAGATAAACAAAATGTGTAACACGCTTACAATGGAATATTATCCAGCTTGATAAAGGAGTAACAATCTGACACAAGTGATAATATAGATAAACTTTGAGGACGTTATGCTAAATGAAATAAACAACACAAAAGGACAAACATTGTATGATTCCACTTATATGAGGTACCAGAAATAGTCAAATCCAAAGAGGCAGAAAGTACAACATCCACCCATCTCCATTTAGTAAATGTACTAAATGCCACTGAACTGTACAGTCAAAAATGGTTAAAATGGTAAAGTCTTGTAAATTTTGTCACAATTTTTTAAAAAAGTAATAAAAGAAGCCTCAACAAATTCAAAAAAAATGAAATCATATCAAGCATCCTTTTGGGTCACAATGGCTTGAAACTAGAAACCAGCTTCAAGGAAAAAAAGCTCAAAAACATGGAGGCTGAATAACATGGTATTAAATAGTGAATGAGTTAACAATGAGATCAAGGAAAAAAATAAAAAAAGTACCTGGAAACACATGAAAAGGAACACATAACAACCTAAAAACCTATGGGACACAGAGAAAGCAGTCCTGAGGGGGAAGTTCATAGCAAAACAGGCCTACCTAAAGAAAATAGAAAAACCTCAAATAAACAACCTAACCCTACATCTAAAAGAACTAGAACAAGCAGAAGGAAGGAAATAATCAAGATCAGAGCAGAATTCAATGACAGAGAGACTAAGGAAAAAAAAATTCAAAAGATCAGTGAATCTAGGAGCTGGTTCTTTAAAAAGATAAATAAAATTGACAAACCTTTAGCCAGACTTATCAGGAAAAAGAGAGAGAGAGGACCCAAGTAAATAAAATCAGAAATGAAAGAGAAGTAGTAACAACTGGTATCAGAAATAACATGAATGATAAGAAATTACTATGAACAATGATATGCCAAGAAATTGGACAACTTGCGTGAAATGGATAAACTTCTAAAAACATACAATCTTCCAAAACTGAATCAGGAAGAAGCAGAAAACCTGAATAGACTGATAACACCAGCGAAATCGAAGCAGTAATCAAAATACTGCTGAGACACAAAAGCCCTGGACCAGATGGTTTCACTGGCAAATTTTACCAAATATTCAAAGAAGACTGAACAACTATCCTTCTCGAACTATTCCAAAAAATTCAAGAATCAGGAAGACTCCCAACTTTTCTTTTTTTTAATGAGGCCACTATTATCCTAATCCCAAAACCAGGTAAAGAAACAAATAAAGAAAATTACAGATCAGTATCTCTGATGAACGTACATGCTAAATTTTCAACAAAATATTGGCAAACCAGATCCAGCAATACATTAAATAGATCACACACCAGGATCAAGTGGGACTTATTCCAGGGATGCAAGGATGTACAATATGCACAATCAATAAATGTAAAACACCACATAAACAAAATGAAGGACAAAAATCACATGGTCATATTAATATATGCTGAAACAAGCATTTGATAAAATCCAGCACAAGTTTATAGTAAAAACCCTCAGCAAAGTGGAATAGAGGGAACATGCTTCAACATCATGAAGGCCATATACAAAAAACCTACTGCCAACATCATACTCGATGGGCAAAAACTAAAAGCATTTCCCTTAAGATCAGGAACAAGACAAGGGTGTCCATTCTTACTACTGCTATTCAACACAGTACTGGAACTTCTAGCCATAGTGATCAGACAAGAAGAAGAAAAAATAAAAGGCATCCAAATTGGAAAGGAGGAAGTAAAACTGTCATTATTTGCAGACAATGATAGTGTACACTAAAAAACCCTACCGACTCCACCAAAAAACTACTCAACCTACTAAGTGAATTTGGTAAAGCAGCCGGATACAAAGTCAGTATCCAGAAATTGATGGCATTTTTATTGATTACATTGATGTAATCAATGTCATCAATTGATGACACTTGATGATTAACAATGAACTATCAGAAGTAGAAACTAAAAAATAAATCCCATTTACCGTAGCAACAACAAAAAAATAAAATACCTAGAAATAAATTTTACCAAGGAGGTAATGGACCTGTACTCAGAAAACCATAGAACACTGAAAAAAGAAATTGAGAAAAATATAAATAAATGTAAGTACATACTGTGTTCATGATTTGAAACTATTAACATCATTAAAATATCCATACTACCCAAAGCAGTCTACAAATTCAAAGTAATTCCCATTAAAATACCAATGGCATATTTCACAGATCTAGAACAAATACTCCAAAAATTTATATGGAACTAAGAAAGACCCTGAATAGCCGCAGCAACCTTGAGAAAGAAGAGCAAAGTTGAAGGGATCACAATGCCTGATATCAAACTATACTATATGGCCACTGTAATTAAAACAGTCTGGTACTGGCATAAGAACAGACAAATAGATCAATGGAATAGAATAGAGAGTCCAGAAAGAAACCCATGTATCTATGGTCAATTAATATTTGACAAAGAGGGCATGAGCACACAATGGAGTAAAAATAGTCTTTTCAATAAATGGTGTTGGTAGAACTGGACTGGTACTTGCAAAAAATGAAACTAGACCACCAACTTATACCATACACTACAATAAACTCAAAATGGATAAAGAACTTAAAAGCCATGATACCATAAAAATCCTAGCAGAAAACATAGTAAAATTTCAGATATTTCACACAGCAGTATTTTTGCTGATGTATCTCCTAGGGCAAGGGATATAAAGGAAAGAATAAACAAACGGAATTACATCAAATTAAAAAACTTCTGCACAGCTACAAAAACCATCATCAAAATGAAAAGGGAACCGACTGTATGGGAGAACATATTTGCCAATGATACACTGGACAAAGGTTTAATCTCCAAAGTATATAAAGAACTCATATGACTCAACACCAGGAAGACAAACAATCCAATTAAAAAATGCACAAAGGACATGAACAGAAACTTCTCCAAGGAGGACATACAGAGGGTCCATAGACATATGAAGAGATGCTCAGCATCACTAGCCATCAGAGAGATGCAAATTAAAACCACAATGAGATATTACTTCACACCTGCCAAAA